ACGCATAATTGCTGCTTCTAAAAGTCTGTGTCCCTTTCTTTTTCTTTTTCTCTTAGATTGTGATGTCTCAAATACAATGTGAATCTGCCACGCAACAGAGTGGAGTAATTAAGGAAGTTTAAAAATGGAAATTATATAATTTTTCTTCTCCTGTATGCGGTGTCAGCAGTCCAAACGCCGTAGGCCATAATCACGGTCGCCATGTTTAATTTCCACTAACTGATTTTTAGCAAATTGTGTATCCAGCTATTTAGCCTGGAATTGTGTGGAACAAGAAAGTCTTTGAGGCGAGAATGATTAAAAGAATAATTAAGTGGAGTACATTGTCCCTTTTAAAAGTGTCATTGTCCCGAAGGTTTGTTGTGCTTTTCAGCTTTACTCTTCAGATTATCTTGGTTTCTTTTCTGCCCTCAGTGAATTCGTGACACTGAATATATCTGCACTTCAAACAACAAAGTGCTTGTGATTACTTAACCCACAATTAATTAATTGAGTGGTAATTAAGTTAAAACGTGACACCGTCAGACGTAAATTACGCTTTCTTTGATGATTTAGATTTGTGATAAATTGCTGGGATTGAAATGCATAACAAATATGAATCACCTGTTACAGTGCTATCTAATTTTGATCAATGCGCATTAATGTTGTAAATGAGACCAATAATTGACAACATATTATTCGTATATTAAGCGTTTCCAAATTGCAATTTATAGCTAGTTTAGACACAAGCTGAATAGTAATTAAACTAATTTTACCCGATGTGTCCAGTCAATTTGAATAATATGATTTTATAGAAGTGTTTGTGTGGAATATCTGTTTCGATTTGAATTAATAATTCTGAATTTGGAAAGTTTAAGAATAGGGATATTTTTTCAGGTTTGACTAAGTTTCTGTATCCCGTTAATTACAAAGTTTTATATGAGTTAATCGATAAAGGATGGGAAAATTAGGTTTTGAAAGAGCTGCTTAAAATAACCGAGAAGTGACAACCCTTTTATCGTATTAAAAAAGATAGGACCGATCACGAAACTTATCAAACTTATCTTATCTAAATAAGACTCGTTGTCATTACCAGGTGTTATACTTCTCACTAACTTGTTAATAATTGTGTCACTTATTCAAATATATCACACAAAACTCCGTCGCTTAACCAGACAAAGGCTAGCACGTATGATTTATTGTATTCATTTCATCTTAGAACAGTTATTTCACTTAATTTATTAGAGGTGAAACTCAACAGCAATCAATACTTATTGAGTTAAAATCGTTACTTTGACGCTGAATTAAAATACAAAAAGCCGACGTCAAGACGGTTACAAATTCAATAACTGTTGCTAAGAGAATAATTTAACGCAGTAAGCCTTCTTTAAAAAGTTCACTGGGAGAGTTATGTATCAATAAAATTGTTACACAATGGAAACTTGTTACAGTTGTATAATTATTACGATGCAACAAAGACGAAACTCCAAGACCAAACTTTACTCAAAGAAACTTTGTTACGTAAACACACTGTATCTCCAAATACCTATAAGATACTTGTGTCTTAATTTAGAATTAATTTTCAAACGGACGGACGCCTTGCAAGAATAATGCTACATCAGAAAAGCCGTGCCGTGCAAAATTGCACGTCTAGTTCTAGAAACTGTATGCTACGACGTGACCAACAAAAATAAAAAAAGTCTAATCGATTTATCAGACTACAGGTGTCCCCTCAAGCATTCGTGATCTACATACATGTTAAGGTAAAATTACACATCTGTCCGATTAATAAGCCGAGCTTGGTGAATAAGTGTTTACCGCGCGTTTTAATATCAACCACCAGTGAAGACAGTGTGTTGACTAAGAACAGCAGATAATTCTTGCAACCACATATTGTTGCGCCATGTGATAGTGTGACTGTTACATAACGTTATATAATTTAATCACATGTTGAGACTATTACCATATGTATGCGTATTTCATGGTGGGGACCTACAATTTACGACACACACTATCAGTTTGAATTTCATCATGTAAAACCAAGATTCTCAAGTTTTAAAACCTGAACAACACTGTAGTTATGACCTGTAAATTATTTCTATTAATGACAGCTCTTGCAGTATGTTGCGTATCTAGCGCAAAGTCGTGCTCAGCACCTCACCATAAATCGCACTCAAAAGAAATTGTTATACTTTATGAAGCTTTAAAGTTTATTGTTGGACATGTTGTTAAAAACAGTATTTTTACGAGTTTACAAGGTTTTCATATCAATGTAAAAATACAACTTTACGCAATAGTGTTACAATGTAGGGTGAAAGCAGGACCCAGTATCACTAAATTACTTTTTAAGTACTTTACACAATTTACGACGGTATCAGTGCTATATGTTTGAAAGACACTTTTTATATGGATTTTGATTATACAACAGCTTTACAAAAGAAAGATGAGTGTAAGATACGTCTTTTATGGTTGCGGCTGATCTATGTGGCAACATTGTTTTTATTCAGTCACACTTGATCCAGGGATCAGCTTTGATTCGCCTTTATGCAACCAGAAATAGGAGTTATAAAAGTCGAAAGAATTGATGTGTTTGACCAACAGAAAACAATTTGTGTACGTCGTAATTTAACTGCTTTGTCGGCGGGAAAACAATAAAGAAACGGAGAATGGCAAATTTGTTGTAACAATGGTGACTAAATTAGCGATATTCTTTAGAAGGAGGTAAGATGTTATCTGGAGTGACACGAAAGAAGGGGTCGGAAGTTTTGCTGAATTCTCTGTTGATGTGTGTCTATAAGACGTTCTTACGAAAATTGGATCATTCTCGCGGCGACGATTGCATTGTTTTGATAGATGGTTTGATTGTGTGTTAACAAAAAATCTATACGAGGACAATTTATTTGTGATTCTTCTAATATACGATATAGGAAGCGATGGTGATAGCATTTTTCAAGTTAGATTACTGACAACCGAACTCCGAGGGCTGTACTTTGTAATACTGACCACTATTTGAACTAATTTATTATTTTAACACTAGTTATTCTACTAAAATTATATACCATAGTCAAATGATGAAATTGTTTCTGTAAAACCGCTTTTTATCCCGAGCGTGAGCTAAGAAAGTATTGTAATTGAGTCCATCGGGCGAAAACACGATAAGGCCCAGTCAAATATCAATTGGTTGTCCCGTGTGTTCGGCTAACGTGTCTGACATGATGATTTTTTCCAATTCAGAGCGTGTCGACATGGTAATGCTTTAATGGAATCGCCAGGTTGGCCCGCGAATTGTGGATTGAAGTGGTCCAGCATCTCCGAGATCATGGTACTTTCAAGCCTCAAACTCACGACCGTGGCCGTAATAGGACCGAAAGAATACTACAAGCTGAAGAACAAATTTTGGAATGCGTCGAAGAAGAGCCCCACATCATCACTCGCCGACTTGCTAAGAGTACAAGGCCTAAATCCATACCACGTTCAACATGTTTGTAGCCCGCTGATTTTCCACCTCGTGTAATTTATTGAATCTCAGGGCCACCATTTTGTCTAAAGTTTGGACCATTTCATTGCGATTCAGTTACCTCAACTCGTAGAAAATGTCGTTTAGTTCTCTGTTTCACTCTCATGTGTATAGTCTTGACAAGCATTATCGCTCTTTGTCTTAAATTACGAGTCTTGATTATTGCTTTTCAGTTCAGTTGCACCTCTGCTACTACACATGGCGGACTTTTCGATATTTTATTGATTAAATGAGATTCAAGAATGGCTGACTTCATGTTCCCGAAACTTTGGGAATTAGTACCGTTATTATTAGTATTCGTATCACACTGCATCTATCCTTACTGATAAATGTAGTGACAGACTTTATGTCCGTCTGTATCCATTTTTATTAGATACGTAATATCCAAAACTGCTGGACCGATTGTTGTCAAATTTTATATGTCTATTATGAAAATCGTGTAGATGGTAAAATGCTAACCAAAATTTCGCTAAATTCCCCACCAACAATTTGATGACGTAATTCCAATGAATGGTATGGTTTAATTAATAATTTTAGTCCTGTTTTGAGAAGATAAACTCATTCAAATCAAACTAATGTCTGCGTGACATTCTTTCGATGTATAAACATAAATAAACACTTGAGCTTATTGCTATTACCCACTGCTGAAGGACAAGGGGTGTTATTTATACCTTTGGTTTTTACTTTACAGCGGGTATCACAAAACGAAAATCGTAAAATTAAATTTTATAATTTTTTTAAAGAGCTGGATTTGTCGGATTATACTTACAGCCTTCGATCAATGTTTTATTGATCTATTTAAGAACCTCATTTTTTATATTTGCTTATACAGTGTCACTCAAAAAAATTAGTGAATCAGTCAATTTATTTTATTGAATAAATCAAAAATTACAAAACTGAATACTGAAAAAATGTTGCAGGCGTTTTAAAGTTATTGTAAGCATGGTAAATTGTTAATTAGAATGAATTTGCTTATCCCCCCTAAAAAAATTATGACGTCTAATAATTTAAATTTGTGGAGGGAAATTCAAATCTTGGACTTTGACAAGTGTCACCAAATGTGCGACATCTTAAAGTTTAGAAATTATATAGTCAAAAATATTGAAATAACATTATTGAATCAAGCGAACACTCACAAAGTGTGCATATTTCTGCAATGAATTAGAACGTTTCTAGTTATGTAGTAGGATATTCTATTATCAGTGATTTTGAAGCAATGTAATTTAATCCCGAATGTTCGTTGTTAACAAAACTGACAATTATGAAATGCATTGTATTGTGAGGTAGTTATTACTCTGAAATTCGAATACATCGAATATGTATCTACGATGCACTTTTTTGACGTTTTGGACAAACCAGAATAATTTGGCAGTCGCACTAGTAAAATATTTTCAAGTTTGAAAAAACCGTTCGTCAGAGATTTGTTTATTTGAAATTTTTAGCGAAACAACACACGCAGAGTGCACATATCGAGCGGTGCAAAGCAAGGAATGCTTGTACTTACCCGTTTGTATTTTTGCAACATTCCTCTAAACTGTCGCATGAGAAAACCGTCATCCTGGTGCAGAAAACTATGCTTTTAAAGAGAAATCAAGCCGACATATTTAAATACCTTCTGATTGCCCAAAGAAATTTCGACTTTAAATATTTCGGTATTACCGATATTAAAAGATCGCGTGTATGACAAAACGGAGTCGGTTTCGTTAAGCGTTTGCGTAAAGCCAGACGTCAGAAAGATGTAACTGTTGAGCAAAATTAACCATCCGCTCATTGTGGTCTTACACGAAACACTAAATCGCAAAGAAATGCCGTCGATATTGTTATCGATGCGTGTCGTTGTATTTGCCGGTAATTGCTCTTTAAAATCACGGGTTTTGTTAGCCGGGTTTTGTAGCTTTCTCGTAAAAAGCAATGTATTAAGTGGGTCAAGTCAAGATACTGAGAATTAGATTCCACTTTGGAAAATTAAACTGTGACTCTTTATTTCTAATCGGATTTCTCGTAAAGAAACAATTTCTTTGATGTATGTAAGAGGCGGAAGCGTACGAGTGACGTAGACTCGCTTAGATGACGATTTAGCTCGGAAATCCCCTAATTTTGGTTAATCTCTGAATAAACCATGCACGTTTGCAACAATTGAAATACTATTGTAATCTGAGCTCAGCGGTCAGCATCAATGTTTCCACGCAATGTACTCCGCTCGGAATTGTTGGTTTGGAGATTGCACTCTGAGAAGTCCCTAGTTCGTGTATCTTTGAGGTAGAACCCGAAAACTTTCCACTACTCTAAGATAACTTCTCCAACTTATCTTTGTATTTAATAAGGTATGTTAATTCATTCCTTCCGGATTAATACTTTACACAACTCCCCGAGAAACGTCCAATTCTCCTCACCGTCAAATTGCGTTATCGTTCAACCTTCATCGTACACTCAAATAAATCAAAATCATTAGTTTCCTTCCGCTTCAATGCCTTTCCCGAACCTTGCTGACTAGGTGTCAATAGTCAGTTTGTTAGCAGAATTGCTTATGTGTGTTTGTATCCACAACAGAACGAATTTTTCTATCAAACATTTACTATTCCACGGATGCTCAGCAAACAACCGTCATAACAACCATTCATAAATCGCGCACGCTCTTCTCCCGTCTGCCACTATTCAAAATTAACGTCACTGTTTATAACCGTTCCCGCAACTCCAGAGAAAAACATTTTTAGTATTGCACCCCAACCGACAACCTTTTTTCAATAATACAGATCTTTTAATCCATGTCGGGGAGACTTGTTTCTTTAAACACAATAACGTCAACAAAACCATTTGTCTCCATCAACGCAAAAGTTACGAATAAGCTCGTCCTTTTTGTTGAACAAATATGTCTTGACAGCGATAAAATTCCTTTACATAGACATAACTTAATTACAACCAAACGCCGAATTATTTTTGCCAAAAACTTACTCAATCCTTTCCAAAGTTACGCTACTTAAAATTTAAGCATGCAGTGTAGCGGAAACTCGATTTTTAGTCATTTGATGACTAGATGCAAAAACTGGAAAATGAACTTCAACGTCGTGCATCACTGAGCTAAGCTAATTTACAAACGGTGCATCAGGAAAAAAACTGGATTTATTTGTTGGTGAAGGTCAGCGTGTTAAATTCCCGGACGCCACATTACTGCACAACATTTTTAATATATGCATGCTAGTATCAACTGAAATTTTTATAGACTTCAATTTTTATTTTTATAGTGTACCAATTCATCTAGAGTCAAGACGTCAGAGAATCGAGTCGTAAAATAAACTATTCGTGATCGTCGTGTGAGTTACCGTTGCCCAGAAAAACGAATTTCGTACTCGACTGAAATGCATAAGCGTACGTGTGACGGTCGCAACTGTACTTAAAAAATATAAACAAAACCCTCTAGGTATTGGTTCGATTTAGTTTCCATAACGTAAGTAAAAGTTCGTAGAAGTCAAAAATGATGACCCTACCAGTGATCCTGTCTTGAAATTCAGCTCAGTGCTCGGTTGCTATGGTTCTAGCTATTCTTACTAAATCAACGTCCTGCGTACGTTTATGGGTTGATAAGTTTATTGGGTAAGGATCCACGGCATTATTAAAATGTAGTCAATGGAAGGAAAGGATCCAGCGCTTTGTATGCATGTATATGCTCCTATAATCTTGAATAAATAATCAGTTCTTTTTATTTTTATCGGCGTCTTAAGAATTTAAGAAAGTTGCGGAAGTTTCAAAGTTTGTCAATAATTTCTGGAGAATTTTAAAGACTTCCTTAAGAAAACGTTGAGAAGTATTGATGCACAGTTTTAATCAACATCCAACCCTTCTAATAATTTAGATCTATTTTCCTCTTTAATAAGATGTGGTTGAGCTAATTTTCAGTAGAAAATTTTGTGAGATAACCTGTTGCATTTTTTGCGAGAAGTTACACGCTCCAGCTGATATTTAATTACGAGGTAGAAGATAACAAAAGCATTTTAAAAAGTTTGCGTGTCTACGTTTCATTTATATGCAATTTAATTTTACATTCTTTTAAGTTCGACTAACTTTTCCAGAATAGGTTTGTTAAGTTCAGTTTCGGAGCAAGAACTTCGTTACATTTTTAGGATCTTAATTGAGCCTCAGTGTGTTCGGTAAGCGATTTCTTGGCGACATACACGACGATTAAGGCTCCGGGGTAAACAGAAGCAAGCTATCACAGCATATTTCCTTGCTAGCAAATGGAGTTATCTCATGTCATCAACTACCTGCAAACAAAGATGATAAACAAAGCAGATCCGGATAATATACTCGTCATGATTTACGTGCGGAGTGCTTTCAGCACTATTCAGCTATACGTCATTATTATTTAATAGAAGAGTTAATTTTATAAGTGCAGCTGGATAAGTTTCAATGTTCTCCGGCAATTATTGAATATGAGAGAAAATTCTGCTCTCGAGTAGTTCCCATTATTTATTACTGAATGAGCATTAACTACTACCTCCACTGTATCCAGAGTTAGCGCTGCTCACCCGCTTTGACACGTTTTAAAGCCGCATCACGTAAATTTTGCATAATTTTAATATTATCACTGATCCTTGGTACATATTTCCCCATAGCGGCGTCTTACTTTAGAGGCTTCGGACATTGACAGAATTTTATCCTGCCTCCGTCTACAAACAACGTTTTCTTAAAAACCTTATTGAGACATTAATTTATTCCAAAGAGGAAATTGAAACATCCAAACAGTTCGTGCGGTTGCTGCTTTAATATTCAATTAAGAAAAAAACTCACACAATTAATTGCATTTAAAACTTGCAGTGATTATACGCATTTGAATGTAGTTCGTTTCATAATTCACGGACGAAAATAAATTGTCTGAAATTGGTCTTTGCAAGTCGACATAAAGAAAATTCCGTGCTAGCCTACGTGTAATATAGCAATTCTCTTTATCTATTTTTCAGTCCTTTGTCCTTATAAATAACGTACCGACATAGCTGACTTTCGTCTGATAACTTAAATGGAATTTTGCGCGTTTTCCTTACACCAGGTTTGAAATCTACTTCTACTTATATAAAGGAAAAATACATACCCAACATAACGTTAAGATTTTTGTTTGGATTAGGTATTTTACTTAACCCTTTGTAACACTGATGGTAGAATAAAAATAAACTCGGGTTAGCGCCTTCCACGGGGAACGTTGCTCGGGCGCCGGCTTTCGTGGATCCCTCTCGACAGAGACACAGATCTCCAGCGGTCTCGTGTGTGCCCACGAAATAAATAATGCAGCCGTTCAAAATATTATACAAGGTGATTTCGAAATATATGCAAGAAATCACCCTGTATTGGCTCTTTATTCGATCGCCAACTACACCGGTAAAACGCAATTATCCCAAAGTAAAAAAAAAGAAATATTGCGATCTTCCTCTAACTGCGCCCTCACCTAACAGGGTTCTGAATCAATGCAAATATTTGAATATCACAAATTTAATAAAAACCAAGAAAAATCTGAAGTAAAGTAACTGGATGCAAATACACAAGTTATTACGGAAGTGTGGCGGCAAATTTAAATTACGGCAGTTAAAAAGAGAACAATATTTTAATAAAACTTTATGGCACAGCGATGGCGGCACCAGAGCGCTATAGTGTGGCGGCAAAGTATATCAATTTCATTCTAAAACACAGCAAAAATACCCATATGTGGCGTTGTAGCACGAGCGGAGTTTGGGGCTCCCGGTCGTGGCTGTTCTCCCACCGCAGTGATTCTATTCTATCGGCAAGCACATGGCGCCCAGCGTTGTTTTTTTTTTCAGCGCGAAATTTTAATTCAAAGAATCATTTAGTGATGATACAATTAAGTTGTCATAAAGTTTGAAATTCACATAGCATAATGGCAATATAACAACTTTAGAACACAATATACTGTTTTCACTAAAACAATGTTACCCTGGTAATAAGTGAGGAGCGATAATCACGTCTGGATAGCTTAGTGGTCAAAATTCCCGTCCGGTAAGTAGGAGACAGGGTTTCGAATCACACTCCAACTGACCACGGGGTGAAAGCTCGTAAAACTTTTCACCAACAAAATATTAAATTTAGTTTTCTTCTAGAAATAAAGATGCGCCAATTTCTTAAAAGACCCTTAGAAAATTCAGTTAACACGCCACTGTGTTATCACTGGATGATGCGGTTTTTACGGGCCGATAGCCGACCCCGACAAAAAACACAGATAACACTAATAACATTCAATTACACGAAAGAAACTAAGCAGCCGCACTATCGTAATCATAATAATCAGTCATCAACACTAACAATAACAACATTAGAGAGAATAATAAGCTCTGTTACGTCGACTTATCACTTCATTCAACTAAAGTTATTTCTGTTTTTAGTTTTTTTGTAGACTGGTTGTAGTTTTAAGTGTATGTGTTTAAAAAAGTATCACATAGTTCGTTCCAAGTTTCTAAATCGTCCTTGGGTCGGGTATTATCCAGTTAAGAAAAGTAAATTATTTTAAATGAGACGTTCTTTGCAGTGGGAAATTGTAATTTGTGTTAAATAGAAGATTTCGCAGCAACTTTGTAGAATTTAGTTTGAAGTCTAAACCTAAACTTATTGAAGGCGAAATGTGCAAGTTGAAAATAATTTAGCAGCAACTGCTCGAAGCATTATTGACTTCCATTTAGCAGACGCATGTGCATCGAAAACACACTTTATGCACTTTAATCATTAGGATCTGATACCAGATCGCATCATAAGGTGACGCTTTTAGTATCGGAATGTATG